ATGATGGGCTGTTAAAATGGAATATGGTCGTCTTCAGCTGACACAGCATGGAGACTGTCTTGTGCTTTCGATTAAAATAACATTTTAAATGCTTTGAACAAACATATCTCTTTAGACTTCTAAGGGATTATTTTACATATTTCTTCAAGAATGAAGAAATCCATTCGCCCTGTTGCTGAACAGAAAGGACCAAGAATATCTTTCGTCACACATAGAATAAAAATACTGTAGGCCACTGCAGTATTACAACCCAAAAAAGAGGGGGATGGCGGGGGACAGGGGGCACAGGGGGGTGAGGACAAAGCTGCCTTGAAGATTAACTTTGCCTTTTATGAAATCATATTTAGCCACTTTCTTAAACAAACCTACCCACAATGATCTGCAGCCTCTCATTGGAAAATATACCTTCAATGCGAAATGAGGATTCGGATGGGCTCTGGAGAAAGCAGGAAGAAAGCCCTTCCATTGAAACATGAATAGGGAACCGTCTCATCGGCAGAAGCCACCTTGAAAGGTCTGTGTGCACTGATGCCAGGTGTTTATACCACTGGTGAGAACCATCCCTCTAGCGTCAGACAAAGAAAAGAAACACAGACAAAAGGGGCCCAACACCTTCGTGGATCACAGCCCCAGCCCTATGCCTGGGTGGGGTTAAATCCCATAAATCCCATAAATCCCAGCCAGGCCGACTGGCAGCAGAGCCTGTGATCCTTCAACATCCCCCCCCACCCCCCCACCCCCGCCCCGGACCCTACCCCCAGGGCGACCCGCCCTCAGAGCTGTCACCATATGACAGTAATGTGACTGAAGACAGGGGAAGGAGGGGTGACACACCAGACGGGACAGTCGTCCTGCGGTTGTTTCTGATGATGGCATCCTCAGAACCCCATGGAAATTTCTCCCCGATCCCAGGGAGACCTACAGTACTAACACCAGGAGATGACGGAGCCAGGGAGAGAGCAGAGCATCCATAAGGGAAGGGGGAGGGTGCTCATATGTGTAGTACGTGCACCATGCACCAGGCACATGTCATTTAAATGTCATGAGTGTTGTTCGGTAGGTTCCCAGATCAAGAAGCTGCAGCTCAGAAGGTCAAGTCACAACGCGAGGGGCCGGCAAGCAGCAGGGTGGGGCGCAGACTTGGGCTCTCCAGTGTAGGCCACAAACCCGGACACCCCTGTACCCGCCTTCTCCTCACCCCTTCCCAGGATGCCCATCCCAGATAACAGCTCAGAGACTCACGCTCTTGGCAGAGCCTGGGCCCCACTCATCTCCCCTCCCAGGCTTTACTATTCCTGCTCCCCTGGATGGATGGGTCCCCCAGCTCCATCAGAAGCCTCCACAGAGGCAGGGAGAACGCGGCATGAAGGGATCTTGAGAAACGTAAGGAACTCCTATACAGGCAGACATGTATCCGATGCCCGCGCCTGAGTCAGCTCTCCAGCCAGAGCCCTTACCTCTGACCAAGGCCAGCCCTCTGTCTGCAGATGCGCCTTGGACACAAGCTCCAGGGACCTCCTCCACCCGCAGCTCATGGTCAAGGAGCAGCACCCCGGGCCTCGACCGCACACATCAAGGGCAGGGCCGCTCACACTCCGGCCGTGTCCCCCAGGCAGGACAGATGGCCATCCTCCCACATGCTCCCACCCCCTGGATGTTCTTTCAGGTGGGGATGTCCGGGTCGGGGGAACGGCACTAGGCGCTCAGTTGTTGGTGGAATGAATGAATGAATGAATGAATGAATGAATGAATATCCTCCAGGAGACAAGGCTTCAGAAACGTCTTCCTTCTACTCTCCTACTTCTCTATCATTAAAAAAAAATAAAAAAGGAAGAATTAACTATTTCTTTTATACCCGTCTCCAGAATACCATCTCAAAGAAAGGGTCCAACCCTGGTGTAATGATCTACGGAATTCCAACACAGTTGTCACCCTGGGGATGCCCTTAACGGTGGAAGGGATCCCACATATTTACAGGCCAGCCCTGCCCACCCATCTCTGGGGCCCTGCCTCTAGAAGCACCCGGCAGGAGGAGAGGTGGGACCTGCCTGTCTGGACCACGTTCAGATTGTGGGCTCCAGAAAAAGCGGGACCCTCACGACCACCTGGGCACCTCGCCTCAGACAGCCAAGCCAGAGGCGGAGTCCCAAGGATCAGCGCTCCCCGCCCCGACCAGCTACTGACCGGGGCCAGCTCTGGGGACAACAGCGGAGCACGGACTGGCCGGAGCATCCCCCTGCCACGGCCGGGGAGCAGGGACAGGAGAGGCCTGGGCGAGGCCAGCGGTGCCAGCGGCTGGGGCAGCAGCTGTGTGGATTTCCGGAAGCCCGGGTGGAGAAGCGCCTGTAATTCTTAGTCCCCCTCTTAAAATATAAAGACTCAATTATCTCTGAGCAGCTTGCTTTACACATGAATTGACACATTTATTTTACAATAAATAACTGAAAGTTATCTGTGTTTCCTTTACTGTTAATCTACACAGAGAAATAATAAACAGGGCTTGTCTACAAAAATGCAACTACTGCAGTCCTCAGGATTCAATTAAGCTAAAATAATTAATGCTCCCACCATATTAAATGACTATACATTTGAGCCACTGAAGTTTTGTTCTTTAATCTTTCCTTTTTATTCAAAAAAAAGAAAAGAAAAGTTGGTGCCAAAGCAGGGAGGGGAAAAAGCAAAAAGGGAAACTGGGAAGGAAAGAGCATATGATGGGCTGTTAAAATGGAATATGGTCGTCTTCAGCTGACACAGCATGGAGACTGTCTTGTGCTTTCGATTAAAATAACATTTTAAATGCTTTGAACAAACATATCTCTTTAGACTTCTAAGGGATTATTTTACATATTTCTTCAAGAATGAAGAAATCCATTCGCCCTGTTGCTGAACAGAAAGGACCAAGAATATCTTTCGTCACACATAGAATAAAAATACTGTAGGCCACTGCAGTATTACAACCCAAAAAAGAGGGGGATGGCGGGGGACAGGGGGCACAGGGGGGTGAGGACAAAGCTGCCTTGAAGATTAACTTTGCCTTTTATGAAATCATATTTAGCCACTTTCTTAAACAAACCTACCCACAATGATCTGCAGCCTCTCATTGGAAAATATACCTTCAATGCGAAATGAGGATTCGGATGGGCTCTGGAGAAAGCAGGAAGAAAGCCCTTCCATTGAAACATGAATAGGGAACCGTCTCATCGGCAGAAGCCACCTTGAAAGGTCTGTGTGCACTGATGCCAGGTGTTTATACCACTGGTGAGAACCATCCCTCTAGCGTCAGACAAAGAAAAGAAACACAGACAAAAGGGGCCCAACACCTTCGTGGATCACAGCCCCAGCCCTAAGGAAGGGTCACTCAGATCTACACGGTGCTCTGAGAAACCAGGGTTTACAGGACTTTGGCCTGAACATGTCAGACACTTTTCTCAATGCCCTTGGCAACTTAAGAGTGTGGGAGACCCACAAGAAGGCCAGCCGCACAGGTCAGTCTGGTTAGACGGGGTCTCCCCAGGGCCCAGCCGGTGCCTGCAGGAATCTGCACACCACCGCAGTCTCTTCACAGGAGAGAGAGTCCATTAATCCCACTGTACAGATGGGCAAAAGGAGGCCCAAGGTCACAGAGCTGCCAGGTGGCTGCCACAGAGCAGCTGGGCTTGCTGCATCACCCTAACTGCCTGCTGGGTGATGGGGGCTTCCTGGCCATGCCCATCCATCTCACCCGTGGGAGCAGAGTGCCCCACTTCCATCAGGCTCACCCCACAAGGACCACCCAAAGCCTCAGTCCATCCAGTCCGTTTTAGACCAAGACACGGTGGAGATGGATACACAAACTTCCCAGCCAGGCACCTGCTTGTGCGCTGCCACACCAGAAGGGACCCCCAGGAGAAAAGTCCCACTAGCAAAGCATTTGTGCAGCCTCTGACCCTTTAACCCACAAACCAGGCCTGCCAGGATTGTCCCTCCTGGTGACACGTGGAGAAACTGAGGCTCTGACCCTGAAGGTAGTCCAAAGTCCATCGGCAGGGTCTAAACCCTCACCTGCACGAACTCTGATAGCGTCTTGCTGCGGGACAGACTGCTGCTTCTAGGAAACACAGGCCAGCCAGGGCCCTGAGCTCAAAAGTACGAACCGGAAGCAAACACTCTGGGCTGCACGGAGCACAGGCTCCCTGGAAGAGGCTCTGGTGCGCCGTGACCTTGACCTGGAGAGGACTTGATGCATAAGCCGACCTGCCAGAGGACGCAAGCGTCTACAGCCTGTTCTTCAGGTGCTAAAAGCCAGCTGTCCAGGTGACCGGCCAAGTGGGCATGCCAGAAGGTACAGCCAACCTCCCCCAAGGGGCACATGCTCCAGCAAGTTTTCACAGCCCCCCCACCACCACCGCCCAGACCTACGCCTAGGATCAGGCAACATCACAAGGGGCCTCTTTTGACAGATGGGAAACTGAGGGCAGAGAGCAGAGGAGAAATGAAAGCCCCACCCACATGCCACATCTCATTAAGCTTCACAACCACCCCGACGAGATCGAGATGGGTCTCATTCGCTCCACTGCACAGATGTGGAAACTGACTTGTCCAAGTTGTGAAGAACGAATTCCATCCAAGACTATGTGATTCCAAAGCCAGAGACTAAGCCAAGAACGCCTGCAAAGGGAGGGCCAGCTAGCCTTCCGAATGTCCATCCTGTCTTCCTGGCCACCTACGGATCAGGCCCCACCATGGAGCCTGTTGCCAAAAGCACAGCAACCATCATCAGCCCACTGGGCCCACTGGGCCTCTCCGAGCTCCAGGCCCATCTCCTCCTGAGGGTCACTGGACGGTGGCCCCTTGGCAAGGGCGAGCCCACCTGTGGCCCCATCCTGGTAGCCCCCGGGGCCTCCCAGCACCAGCACACCCTCAGACAGAGGGCGAGCCCCCCCGCAGAGCGAGGGGCGAAGGCAGGCCTGGGACCCGAGAGGTGGCTTCGGCAGCGGCCAGACGAGTGCAACGTTCCATACCTGCAATGTTCTCCTGCTTGGGGCAGATGCCTTTCGTGGGTGAGAGCAGGTGGTCATCTTCGTCGGGGGTGACCTGGATCCCGATCTCCACCGGCTCGGACACTTTCCTGAGCTCAGAGCGTGAGGAGGGCGGCGGGCTGCCCTTGTCCAGGCCTTTGTCATAGCAGCCACCCAGGCTGCCGCCACACTGCTTCTTCTTGTGCTCTATAAAAACCAGGATGTCCCCCAGGGGGAAGTTCATCTGACACTGTCCACAGGTGAGCAGGTCAGGGTCGGGGCCCCCCACCATCAGCCCCAGGCTGCTGGGCTCCTCTATCTCCAGACCCTCATCTTCCTCGAGGATGGTGGCCTCCACATGCTCAGGCTCTGCTGGAGAGAGAAAGGAGAAGGGAGGGGGGGGGCAGAGAAGACAAGATGGGCTTAGGCAATCACAGGCACCCATCGCTCATTCCAACCCTTCCCCACCAAGAGGCAGGCCCCTCCGCTGCAGGATGCTAGACGTCACCACGTCCTCCCCACAACTCCTGGAGGCAGGGGGTTCACCATCCTGCGTGCAACAGATGGGTAAACTGAGGCTCCCGGAGCAGCGCTGCAGCTCCCAGAGGTTGTTGCTTAAGTGGTACTGATCTTACTGCTTTCTAGTTTATCTCCTGCCAATTCCGCCCCCACCCCCGCCACCCCACCAACTCAGCATAGGGACACACACACACGACCACCCGCACATCCACACACATCTTGGTTTCACCAGAGACTGGGCCGTCTAGAGAGGTGTCTCTCAAACTCTGCAACATCTAAGAATCACCTGGGAGCTTTGAAAACCCCCGACACCCAGGCGGCACCCCAGACCAATTACACTGAGAGCCAAACACCAGGCTGTCGTTTTTTTTGTTTGTTTTTTTTGTTTTTTTTTTTCCTGTAAGATTCCCAGGTGATTCTGATGGGCGGCCAAGGCTGAGAACCGGGAGCCAGAGCTGTCTCTCCCTGCTTAGGCTCAAGCTGCCCCCTCCCTTCCCTCCCACCTTTCATTCACGTCCTCCCCATTCATAAGAGTCCTGCTTGCATTCCTCTACCTGAGACCTGGCTGCACACCAGACAAGAAAACAGAAACCCAGACGGGCGTCCCAGGGCCAATCCTTACGAGAGAAAGGAACCCACGGGCTCAGAAAGCAACAAGTGAGCATTGGTTCAAAAAGAAATATTGAAAGAAAAAAAAAAAAAATGCAGGGAAGAGACGCTGGGAGTTGGCTGGCTGAAAGCGGGAGCCGGCTTTCCTGCCAAACACTCTGCTCCCGGTCAGCCTTCCATTGCTTTGTAGATTTCCCGACACTCACCAACTCCCCACTGTCCTTTTTTGTTTGTTGGTTTTATTGTCACTCCCAGAAAAAAGAAAAGAAAAAAAAAAAATTCTTCAGACTACAAAAGCATTTCTTGGCAGATGACAAACCACACTTTCAACGGGCTGTACATTTTCATATTTCTTTAGCAGCCGATATATCTCCTTTCATTCTTTTTTGTAGGGGGCACGGGACCCAAATATTTTGAAGCTAATAAATGCCTCAAAAAGCAGCAACCCCCTCAGGGAAAACTGGGAGACACGGCAGCCGAGACTGTCATAAATAAGGGAAGCGGACAGTGAGGTTGCAGCCTTCCTCGGGGTCTGAGCAAATTCGGGGTGGAATTTTTCGAGAGCAAATGTCAGTCGTCATGTAGATAGCACAAGCGCCAGGGTCTTCAGAGAAGCAAGAGGGCAGCCAGAGGTCTGAAACCCGAGGAGGCAGGTACATTTTCTGTTGTACGGTATTTAGGAAAGGATAATGAAAACCACAGAACAGAGGGAAGAAATGGAATGGGGGAAAAACACATTCCGTGGCAGTGAAGTTATTGACGGGCCAGAGCCAAAGAACAGACAATTTAAGGAAAAAATTCTGTGGCATCTTCCATCCTACATATAAATCACTGTTCTGTATTTTCTGAACACAGGCTTCTTCAGGGCCTGTGAGAGTCCATGTGTAAGACCGAATAGACGGCACATGTAACATGTATGAACTAGGCATGCACGGGTCAGTGCACAGGTATTGCTGAGAAGGGAAGTGACAATTTGAGATCCCGCCTGTGCTTATAGAAAAGCAGACAGAACCCTCGATGAATTACACGTAGAAACGCACTGGAAATGTGACCGCACAAAAACACCCCGCAGATGAGGAAATCCGAAATCTCTCGTCTGCATACCTCTAACAAAAAGAACCTATAAGGTATGAGAAACAGTGTGCACAAAGGCAGCCCCAGAAACCACTAATTACACTTTAAAAAGAAATCGGGGTTTATTTTAAAAAGAGTTGGAAGACCATGCTACATAATTAATTTACCAATTTATTTTATGAAAAGACGCTTTGCTATGGTTAAAATGTAATCACAACCCTCACGCCGAACAGTGGTTCTAGGGCGGACTGGGTTCCAGGTTCCTGTGAACGGTTTGCCAGAATGTAAAAGGTAATTATTCAGTGCCTCTTTTCCCTTTAATGATCTAACATTGAGCGATACTGTTTATATTGAAAAGCTCGCACCTTTAATTACCAATTACATATACATAATTTCAGAGCCGAAGGAGAGGGCTGTGAAAACAGTTCTTTAGAAATATAAGGATGTATTGTAGGCCATTTCTAGAAAAGGAACTCTAACAAATGGGGGGAGAATGTCAAAATATTGTTTTGTTAAAAAGAGAGAGAGAGAGAGGCACAAAGGAAATGCGCTAAAATGCAAAAGAAAAAGGACAAAATGAAATTGAGAATTCAAATGAAACAGGGGTGAGTTCTGTGGAGGTACCCGGGCCCTCCTGAGCAGGCCTGGCGGCCGGCTGCATCCATAAGGGCATTTGATAAAAATAAACAAAGACAACAGCTCATCCATCCAAATCCCAACTTGAACATCCTTTCTGAGGATGGGGAGGTGCTTTCTGCCGTCTAATTTCATCTTTGGTTTCCTTGCTTTGGTTTTGCTTGGTTTTGCTTTTCATTAACTTTTTCAGCCGAGTCCGTCCATCCGTACTCCCCACGGGAGTTTTGGGAAGAAGCATGAATATCTCCTCTCTGTTGGGAGGTTCTAAGCTACGTAATTTCAAATTTCTTTTCTCTTTTAAAAGAAACACAGACGAATTTAAAAATGAGCAAAGGTCACCTGTTCATAAGTATCCCTCCCGCGCCCCTCCATCTTTTGCTAAGGACTCTGTACCGGTACTTTTTCCTTTTTCTCCTTTTTTTTTTTGTTTTGTTGTTTTGGGTAACATCTGGTATTCTTTCCTTTATTTGGCGGCCTCTGCCTTTTCACTTTCCTCACGCAGCAAGCCCTTGTGAGCCCCAGTAATTGAGTTTGAAAATATCCGAAGCCGTTCACTGGGCTGCAGGTCTAATTTCTCCCTCCAGCCAACCAGCCTGAGCAGCCAGGCGCTGCTGGCGTCCCATCCTGCAGACGGCTCTGAACTCGGGTCTCCAGACCCTGGGTCCAGCTCACTGCCTCCTCCAAGGGCGTGCAGGAGAAAAAGAAACACACAAAAATCCCTTTCCCCCGCTCCCCACTTGCAGTGCTGAAAGTAAAACTCCTTAGGATGACAGGGGTTTTCACCCAGCTCCAAGAATGGGGTTCCCTCTGCCCAGCCCCTGGCACGTGGAGCTCTGGGCTTTGACTCTGCAGGAGGCACTTCCCAGGAAGACAGCGACGTCACCCCGAACCCCCAAAACTGTCAAATTTCTAGGCCAGAGCAGGTGGGCCAAGACAGCTTGCTGAATCTCATGTTCAAGGCCTTCGGAGACAGCCCCAAAGGGCTGTGGTTTCACTTCCGCTGGCAGGCGGATACCGAGCTGGGCGTGTGGGGTGCATGTGTGTGCGTATGTGTGCCTGTGTGTGTGTCCCTTCTTAGAACCCTGTCCCTCACAGAAGAAATAAAAGGAGAAAGAACCACTTGCCCAAGCTCAGAGGAGGGCAAAGTGAGACGGGCCTGGCCCCCACCCCAGAACCTTCCTTCCTCTGACCTGTGGGCACCTCGATGGAGCCCACACAGCCTCAGAGAACCCGGCCTCTGCTGGGACAGGCACCCAGCGACGAGAAAGCACCGGGAAAGTGAAAAGCCACATACAAACGAAACAGCCTTTCAAATTCCCAGACCCTACAAACCAGTCCCTCAGGCTGCCCTGTCCGGCAAACTTCAAAAAAAGAAGGTGAAGATGAGGTCTTTTCCCCTGAGAGGATTTTTGCTTTCACGCAAAGCTCCCCGAGTGTCAGGCAGGCCTGGAAAATACTGCTGCCCTCACTAGTACGAGCTGAATAAAGCAGACGGATCGCTAAAGTGTTTGACTCATTAGGAGGAAAAATGAATGAATGCAGCAGACGACCTGTTTAGACGTCAGGTATCAGATTGGGGTGGGTCCTGAAATGTGACGTCCGAAAGCACATGGACAAACGTGTATTTACACACACACACTTACACATTTGTTGTAATTTTCCTTTACAACAAAACCACATTTAATTCACAAGGCGAGGCCTCCTCCCAGCTGATAAATGCATTCAGAAGCAATGAAATCAGGGTTCGCAGATAATAATGGACGTTGCTGTTAAGTGGACGGGGAGGCACTTGGTCCTAAGACTGGCTCCCCCATGCTTGGCTGGGAAGGAATTTGCGCAGAAGACAGATGGAAAGACATCATTAACACTGGCCCGGCCAAGCAGCCCACAGGCCCCCGGCAGCTGCAAAGGCTTAGCGAGCCTTACCTGGTCAGTGGCTGCCCTACACACACACACGCTGGGCTCCAAGGGCCCCGCCCACCCTGGGTCTCCCCTAACAACTGCCCCTGCACCTGCCCTTCAGGGAATTCCAGCCAAGGGGCGGGCCTCCTGCTGTCCCCAGAGCACAGAGTGTGTGCCCTGCTGCACACACAGCGCACAGGCCCGTGTCCCCTTACCCCTGCACTGATTCAAATCCAAATCGCTGTCCTTAATGGCTAAGCCACAGACCAGGAGACACCTACAGAGAATTAACGATTCAGTGATGGGGGCGGGGGTGGACAGGGGAAGGATGTGGGGAGGAGGGGTGCCAGGTTCTCAAAATCTTGGGCCACCAACGTCACAGCCGCCATCCTATTTGCACGAGTGTTTACAAGAAATGTTGAGCATCCATCCGCCCCGCCGGAGCCCTGCCTCTGACTGGAGATGTTACACCTGCTTCCCACGAAGACGCAGCCTTTGCCAGCCAGCCCGGGCTCAGCAGCAAATCTGCAAAGGGACCGGTTCACTCTCCTTTCCGCGAACATTCAGGGAGCGGCCGAGACCCCAGGCGACACCTAAACGCCACTAAAATGCGAACTCGACGGCGCACAACA